TTAGGGCGTTGAGTAGATGCTGGGTAGGGCAGGCACGCTGAAAGAGCTTCGCGATGCAGTGCTTTCGAAGCCAGAGTCCGTTCCGAAGCTTCCGCTGGTTACTCCTGATGATGCAGATCCGCTGAGGCTTAGGCTGCCCCCGCTGCTGCTTCCTGCTGTGCTAATGCTTCCAAGGCTGCTGCTTCTACCGCTGCTCTCAAAACCGCTGCTGCCACTTCCGAAGTTACTGCTGATGCTTCCAAGGCTGTTGCCACTGCTGCTTCCGAAAGTGCTGTCAACGGCACCGCTTCCGAAGGTGCTACCGCTGCCAGAGGCGCTAGCGCCACTTCCGGTACTGCTGCCACTACCAAGTGTGCTGCTACTTCCCAGGGCACTCCTGCCACCTCCAACACCTCCAATACTGCCAAATGCACTACTGCCTCCCACGCTGCTACCGCTTGCGCCTCCGATTGAGCTGCTTCCACTTCCAAAACTGCTTCCACTGCCGAGGGAGCTGCTTCCACTTCCAAATCCGTTTCCGCTTCCAAAACCACTGCCGCTGCTGCCAAGGCTGCCGCTGGCTCCGAAGCTGCCACTACCTGCAAGGTTGCCACTGCCTCCAAGGCTGCCACTACCTCCGAAGCTGCCTCCGAGACTGCCGCTGCCTCCGAAACTGCCGCTTCCACTGCCTCCGAAACTGCCACTGCCGCTGGCGCCGAAGCTTCCACTTCCGCTGCCTCCGAAGCTGCCACTTCCGCTGCCTCCGAAGCTGCCACTTCCGCTGCCTCCGAAGCTGCCACTTCCGCTGCCTCCGAAGCTACCACTTCCGCTGCCTCCGAAGCTGCCACTTCCGCTGCCTCCGAAGCTGCCGCTGCCGCTGCCTCCGAAACTACCGCTGCCGCTGCCTCCGAAGCTGCCACTTCCGCTGCCTCCGAAACTACCGCTGCCGCTGCCTCCGAAGCTGCCACTTCCGCTACCTCCGAATCCACCAGATTTACCCAGGGCACCTCCGGTAATGACTTGGCCTTTGGCGTTGATGGCGGTCGTGAGGGCGCTCTGGAGACTAGTTCCTCCGGGAAGAGTCGGGTTCTCACCCTCGCCGTAGTTGACGAAGTAAACTTCTGGGTCCGAGGGGGGGGGAGCGGGCACTTTGATTACACGCCGTTCTTGGTTTGATTGCTTGTTGAGGATATACACCACCTGATCCTGCCTTGGAGGTGGTACCACGATGGGATCTTGAACCTTTTTCTCTGCAAGTTTGATGAACAACACGTTGCGGTCTACCTGAGGTTCTGGGATGTATGGGGGCGGGTTGTTGGGTTGTGGGTTTGGTGGGGCATTGTACAGGAAAACGCGTTCGTTGACCTGGGGTGTCACGCATCTGCCATCCACATGTCGCACCTGTCCCTTACCGCAACTCCCCGGGTTCAAGAGTGGCCCGGATGGTGTGGGCAGGCTGTACCTCTGTGGGGCAGCGGACACAGCAACCGCTGCCGTTAGGACCAGAACCTTTGGTAAGAAACGTAAGGTAATGATTATAAGCAAACATGCATATGAATCTGAATACATATTATAAAAAAATAGATATATAGATATACAGACGGACAGACCTATGGAATGACAGACAAATAGATAGATAGAGATATAGAAAGAGAGAGACGAGTGATTAAAATACACACTCGGACAGACATACACATGACTCTTCTACACCCTCCGATGATTATGAAACAGGATTTGGTATAACGGAGAAATGATTGAAAAAGTAAAGTATAATTTATTTACAGGATATCAAGTAATCCATTCGTGACCACATGAGTATGTTGCAACTGACACTGACAGAGCACCATTTTACCAAGATGTAATAGAAAAACATTTCATACATAAAGTTCTCGTTAACTTCCTTATGGCACTGACAATAATAGAACAAAAAAATAGAAAAAAAAGATGGTCGGAAATAAATTATGTGGTAATGGAACAAAATAGAGCTTAATAATACAATCATTTAATGATCAATTATCTTGCTATTACTTAATGGTAACTACAGGTAAAGGAGATGATAACACTTTGATAAGTACAGACAAAAAAATATATGGCTTATCATCTGTTAATCGAAGTATCGTATTGTATAACAAAACATATAGTATATTATACTGATAAGATAAGGAATACTTCAACAGTCATCGGCGAAATATTTAAGATAAGCAGATCTGATCATCAAAAAATATTAAGATATACCAAGAGATAATACATGAAAAAGTGACTTATCGGAGCAATGAGGATTTTGCCTTACCAGGGACTGCATGTCGGAGGATGGTGACACTTGGGAGGGAATATCATTGGTCTTATATACTCCCACGCTGTCACGGAAGGCCCTTCCTCCTTGTTTATGTTGTTGTTGTTGTTTTAGTAGATAAACCGCCCTCAACTGCCTCTCCATCCCCCACACTCGCCCAGCCACCGCAGAGTTCCCACGGGGGAGGTCAAGGGGCACAGCCTTCTTGTCAACATTCGCCTGCCTTTG